GAGCTAGAAGCTTTGCCTACATTTTACTTAACCTCACAACCACCAATTAGGTCTAAGCCTCATTTTACAGATAAGGCCACTGAGGCTCCTTGAAGTTAACCAGCATTTCCAAGGCCACAGAGCTACAGAGTGGCCAAGTAGGCATTCAAATCCATAGGTGTTAGCCTTCAGACCCTTTGCTCTTAATATTTCCTATACAGGAAACTTCTGCCTTCCAGGCCCCCTGGAGCTCCTGGGTTCCTCAGGAAACCTACAAGGTGGCAGGGTGGTTGTGCAGAAGAGAAGGCCAGGAGCTGATACTCAGGGTTGCCCTAGGCTCTTGGCATTCAAGGACTCACAGAGAGAGGATGAGGAGGTCTGCCTTGCTGTGACACTCCCCATTCAGTCAGATGGCAAAGGAGAGTTGGAATCTGGGCTGCCATGCCTCCCAGTGAAGGGTACCCTGTGTGGTGTCTTTCAGGAATCTGAGCTGGACAATAGGAAGCAGCAAAGAGGAAGAGAAACCCCTGAGCAGCCCATGAACCCATGAACCCCAGTTTGGAGGCTGAACCTCTGTTGAGATCACAGTTGAAGATGGGAATCATCTAGATGCACATGACGAGGACTGCCACAGGACAGTGTGTGCAGAGGAAGTGCACCTTGTTCCTGGGACCCAGGACTCATGGCCACTCCCTTGGGCGCACACTGAGAGGGAGAAGACAGAACCAAGGGCCAGTCCTTCCTTGGGCCTTGCTCTGGGCAGAAATATGGGAGAACCTTATGCATTCCAGGACCTTTCCACAAAGTGATACTTACTTGATATAAAAACTATTTCCTCCACAATTGGTGATAAACTCAGATGACTTGTCCACTGATTTTTTGTGAAGTATTTGGTAGTCGTAATTCTCTGCAGGCACCACTAGAACACGGACCTAAAGGAAATCCATCAACATGTCTTTGGATTTCTAACAACAAGGCTTACCTACCGCTATTCATTATACTCTTTCTTTACTAAGATCAATGTTCTGTATCATTAAGCCCAAGACCAAACAAAATAGGATTTATGAAAAAAGAAAAAGAACAAAAGAATCACAAGAACACCCCTAAGCCAGTGTTAAAAGNAAGACAGAGGCAGAGACTGGACTGATGCATCTACAGGCCAAGGAACTCCAAGGGTTGCTGGCAACACCAGAAGGTAAGAGAAAGGCATGCAACAGGTTCACTCCTAGAGCCTTTAGAAAAAGCATGGCGGGGTCACGACCTTGATTTTGGACTTGTAGCATTTAGAACTGTGAGAGAATACATTTCTGTTGTTTTAAGCCACCCAGTGTGTGGTAATTTTTTACAGTAGCCACAGGAAATGAATACAGCTGCCCTTGAGCTGGAGTCATGGACGCCTGCCACCACCAGCAGCAGCCCCTCCCAGCTCTCACACCCAAATCACAGGGCCACAGCCCCCAAAATATCTATGTGCCTATGGGTGTGTGTGTGGGGGAATAAGTGTAGGGTGAGTGGTGAGCCACACACTTTCTCCTGCACACTGCTGCTCTGACCTGCACTCTCGAAGCTCTGGCTCAGTTTTCCTGCCACATAACCCCCGATCTAAATCTTTCCAGCCTCTTCTTCTAGGACACTGGATCCTGCTCTTCGTCTCCATATTCATGCTCCCGTTCTGCTGAGATCAAGCTGATCACCGGGAATCATGCGACATCGGCTTCTAGTCTTCAATGCAGTCTGGCCTGAATTTGTCTGAGCCAATGTTTGCCACTTGTCTCTCAGCAATTGTGTATTGGACCTCTCTGTGTTTGTGGGGGCAGCCTCATTCTGAGACAGGCTCTCTAGCATGTATCTCCCCACCCTGCCTCCCTCCCCACTCCCAAACAACCCCCACTGTGGAGGCCCACCTGGCCCAGCTGAGTTAGGGAGGCAGGCCTAAGGATTTCAGACTTTGACATGCACTGTCCTTAACAAAACTGCCAGCTAACCCTAGAATGAAGGTGTGGAGCCCATCCCTACC